TTTACTTTTTTTTAGTAGAATTTAGGTCGTACTTAGCGAGTATTTTTCCGATTTTATTAATATAAAGAAAAAAATTTACAACAGTATATGTATTGTTTATTTTGTATATGTGTGTTTTTTTTCTAGAGTTAGAATAGTATTTGTATTTATAAAGAATTGTGACGAATATTTTTCACGATATATTATATTATGACTAATGTACGCGCGAAGCGTGTTTATTCCATCTAGTTTTAAAGAAAGGAAGAAAAGAAAAATACCAAAGAAAAAACACCAACAATTAATGTTCAGATGAAGCTTCCCCACTCGGGAGACCTAATATGATAGTTATTCTCCATCCCTTTCATTTTCTCCCATTTTAATTTTAATTAACTGATCAGCATACTTTGTTATGTTAACTAATTCAATTCAATGATAATAGATGTATTAAACGGGACGGACGAAGAAGTAAGCATGCAACGTACTTAAACATCTTGTACAATTGTTTGTAAATTTTGACGTTGAACAACGTCGAAGATTTCTCTTTATCCTTTCTATAGGGTCGATCAAATTGTGATGAACTTGATTAAATACGATCATATAAATACCAAAAAAAAATCAATAAAAACAAACGCATACGGTATATAAGTTTGAAACTCGGTAATGAATGCATAGAAACGCTGAAATTTAATTGCCTTTGTTGTACCAACAAATTTCATGCTAGAACTGCATTGCATAATCTTCAAAAGTTTCCGATTCAGTCAAATGAAAGTTAGCTAACAAGACCACTAAACACAACTAAGGTTTATATTGTACAAACTCTCTTCTATTGTGCATATAGATAAACCCTAATACAAGTGCTTGAACCAACATTTCTGAAATTTGTTTCCTTAATAATCACAAACATAGACAGCAACGTCGTCACGCCAACATAAAGGACATATCTTCTTGGCAGCAATTGCCAACCAGGGCTTGATATAGTCGGAAATCGGAATAAAACTTATGATTACATCCCGGAAGTTGCATCCAAGACAAAAGTTTCACAGTTTCTTTCGCCTCGCGATAATCCGAAAGACATATAACACATTTAGTATCATTATCACCATCATCAACAAATTGGCTTTCAGGAATATCAATGTATATTCTTAGGAGGAGGAGAAGGCTCCTACAGGTGAAGCGCGGGGTTCGTCCCATTCGCAACTCACGCTTCTAGAGAGTCGTAACCATGCCCTGAAAGGGCCAAAACCACCCTTGTTCCGTGGAGTTGTGCTGGATGATAATCTATGGTGGAACCGGAGCCACTATCCTCATCACTGCGAGGGATGCAGTTAAAGTACATACATATGTAGACACCGAATATTTGAACTAAAATATAAAGGATGAGCAGTCCGAAGAATATAAACTCGATTTGATCAAATGAGTACATATTGACAAAATCGTGGGATTAATCCGAAGCCCTAGGTAGGTAGCTTCTTGGACTTGGTACTCCTTGATTTTTTGTTGGACTAATTTGATGAGAATGCCCATATCATTCTGGGATACGGCAACTTCAATTGGATGCCGAATCCCTCTGGGATGATATACCCATCTATGTGAAATTTGGCAAAAAAGAAAGTAAACAAAGGTATTTACAAACTATGCCCTTTTTCTTTTGTTGATATGTCATGAATTACAATTAAAGAATAAAGTGAACACAAAGGAAGTGATTGTATCGCGTTCAATAATTGATACAGTAGGGTACATCATGCATATATACTACTACAATGAGAGAAAGATTCCTGATGATAAGTATGATAATAACAACACATGTGATAAATATAAGATAACAACTCGTGAGATAATGATTACTCCAACACGCCCCCACAAACTGAAGCTGCAACCGGGTGAAGGGGAAGTTTGTCCACAAATAGACGGAATAAACCCTTAGGAAGAGGTTTGGTGAGGACATCCAACAGCTGGTCCGAGGATGAGATGGAATGGATGGTGACAAACTTATTATGAACATGTTGCCGGACAAAATAAAAATCAACTTCGACATGCCTAGTGCGTGCATGATAGACAGTATGAGAAACAAGAAAAACGGCACCATTGTTATCACACCAAATAGATGGAGGTCGAAGAAGGGAGACCCCAGGTTCAGAAAGTAAATGGCAAACCCAGTGAAGTTCAACACATACCTTGGCAATGGCATGGAACTCAGCTTCGGTGGAAGATCGAGCTACTGTTTGTTGCTTCCGTGAGTTCCAATCAATAAGATTAGGGCCAAGGTAAACGAGAAAGCCAGTGGTGGAGCGCTAATCATCAGACATCCGGCCCAATCAGCATCACAAAATGCAGAAAGAGAACTCAAATAAGATGGTTTGAGAACAAGAGCATGACTGATAGTGCCACACAAGTAACGCAATACTAGTTTTAGGGCTTGAAAATGAGTGGTTCTCAGTTGATGCATGAATTGACAAAGTTTGTTGACAGCAAAACAAATGTCGGGCCTAGTTAATGTAGCATATTGAAGGCTGCCACAAAGGCGCCTATAAGTAGTAGTATCAGTAGGGGACAAGAGAGTACCATATAATTTGGATAAAATGGAACCTGCCTGCATCGGAGTAGAAACTGATTTACATGTATCCATATTAGCCGACTTGAGGAGATCGGTTAAATACCTCCTTTGAGACAAAATGAGGCAAGCTGAATTGTGAAGAAACTCGACACCAAGAAAGTAGTGTAGAGGGCTAAGGTCTCGAATAGAAAATTCAGCAGCAATACATTTAATAAAGTGTTGAACGATGGTGCTAGAACTCCCTGTAGAATAATATCATCAACGTACACTAACAAGAAGCACACACCGTTAGAACCTTTAAACAAAAATAATGATGGATCACAGCGAGAATCACAAAATCCCTAAGAACAAAGAAAGACAACAAGTCTAGAAAACCATGCTCTTGGTGCCTGTTTAAGCCCGTAAAGAGATTTGTGAAGCTTGCACACATAATGGGGTCATTGTGGATTAACAAAACCTTGCGATTGCACCATATGAACAGTTTCATTCAACCGGCCATTGAGGAAAGCATTGCTAACATCAAGTTAAGAGATAGGCCAATTATGGGAGACCGCGACCGAAAGAATAATGCGAATAGTAATCGGTTTAATTTGATCACGGGACTAAAGGTCTCTGCGTAGTCCACCCCATAAGTTTGAGTAAAACCCCTCGCAACTAATCTTGCTTTATAGTGGTCAACCATCCCATCTGCATGGGTTTTGATTTTATATAACCAATGGTTGCCAACAATGTTCCCGGAAGAAGGTAGAGGGACCAAAGTCCAGGTATTGTTTTTGATAAGGGCGGAGATCTCTTGTTGTATTGCTGCTTGCCATGGTGGGAGAGTTTTTGCTTAAGAAAAGGATGAGGGAGTTAGAAAGGCTGGGGAATCAGCAACATATGTAAGATGCACAAATTTCTTTTTGGAAAGAGTGGTGGGACGAAAGTGCATCGGATGAGTCCGAATAAGCGGAGGTGGATGAGGATCATGAGAAAGGTCAACAAACAATTTGAGACCAGGAGAATCAAACTGTGTAGGAGACTCCGAGAGGAAGTAGCTGAAGGGGATGACCGATTGGGGGTGGAAGAGGATGTTAAAGGTTCAGGGTTTGCTGTGAGTGAAGGTAGAACAGGGAACGCTACTGGAGATGAGGGTTGAAGCGGAGAAGGTGATCCAGCTAAAGGAATCGGGATGGTTTGTGTAGAGGGGGAAGCAACATCAGGTTGCGAAAGTTAAGGTGGAGTAGAATTGGAATTTGATTAATTGGATAGAGGAGAATTAGACGAGTTGGTCGGTGGAGAAATTGGGGAAGAGTCCGAATCAATAGTAACTGTTGGAGATTGAGACGGAATGGAGCGAGATATGTGCAGCCATGAAGATGAGTGATCGGCAGACAAGGAGAAAGAGGGAGAGGTGACGAGAGGAAGTTTTTTAAATGGAAACAAAGACTCATCAAACTGGACATGCCTAGCTATATACATCCGTTGAGTGGAAACATCAAGACAACGATAATCTAAGTGAAGTGGAGAATATCCTAAAAAGACACATTGCTTTTAACGAAAAGAAAATTTGTGAGTATTGTATAGCACGAAGTAAAGGGTAAACATCACAACCAAAAACAAACTTTAAGAAACCTGTAATCGGGTTTTTGGTGATAGAGAACGGTAAATGGAATTTGACTATGAAGAGAAGTACTAGGAGGCCGGTTAATTAAAAATACCGTAATTTCGGAGGCGAACTCCCATGATTTGAAAGGGGAGACGGAATGACATAAGAGAGCGAGGTCAATATCGACAATGTGACGGATTTTTCTTTCAGCGGTGCCATTTTGTTCGTGAGTGTGTGGACAAGCTATTCGGTGAACAATTCCGGCTTCTTTAAACAGAGTATGAAGAGGGCAATATTCACCACCCTAGTCTGAATTTATAATTTTAATGGTGGTTTGGAATTGATTTTCAACCAAGGATTTAAACTGTTTGAAAATAGAGAACACATCGCTTTTTATTTTGATAGGATATAACCATGTAAAAGTGAAAAATCATCAATGAAGAGAACAAAGTAACGATATCCATTCATTGAAAGAAGGGGAGCAGGACCCCAGACATCTGCATGTATCAAATCTAAAGGCCGACGACTATGATGAAAAGTAGAATTCAAACTGACTCGATGAGACTTGCCTAAACAATGGGCTTCATATTTATCTGTAGAAGTAGACACGACAGAATACGGAAGTTGAAATTGTTTAACTAAGGAACGTAAAGTTTTATTATTAGGGTGTCTGAGACGGGCATGCCACCTTTCTAAAGATGCTAAGAAAGCTGATGGATTCGACCGATCACTTAGACCGCGGCTCCAGGGATCCAGGTGATAAAGGCCCGATTTAGTCTGTCCGTGAAGTAGTGTTGCCTTGGTTGAACGATCCTTTACACAACAGGAATAAGGGTGAAATTCAAAGAAGCAATTATTATCACGACAGAATTTTTGTACAGATAATAAAGGTTTAGTAAGGGATAGAACATGAAGGACATTTTGCAAATATTAAGGTTTAGAGAAAGAAGGAAGAATTGAACGACCAATGTGTTGAATAGAAAGAGACTGACCATTGCCAACAGTGAGATGATCCGTACCATGGTAGTCATTGGTGATGCCTAGGGATGAGAGATCAGGGATGGGAATGATGAGTTGCTCCAGAATCAGGGTACCATGGAGTGGACGGGGAATGTGCAGCAAGGTTAGCCTGGATAGGTGGTGTAGCCAGAAGCCCATCAGGTGAAGCGGAGGACTGAGATTGACGAGGCATAAGAGTTGGATCAAACTGACGTCAGCATGTGGCTACTGTATGATTTTGGTAACCACAAAGTTGACAAGACATCCCAGGAGTGGAAGGAGCAATGAAGGAACCACGCCGACCGCCACGACCTCCTCTATTCCCGCGGCCATTACCATGCTGAAAACCACGACCACCGCGAGTAGAATGAGAGGAACTTGATTGAGCAACGTCAGCAGTGGCTGGATTGACCGGTTGCTGTGCCTTGAGGTGCAGCTTGTAAGACACAAGTTGACTGTGAAGATCCTGAAAATTGGCCGGATCGGAACGTTGCTGCAAGGCACCAATGATGCCATTGTAATCAGAACAGAGCTTACAGAAGATAATGGCATTAAATCTGGCAGTGGAGATAATATGGCCAGCCATAGCCAAGGAATCAGGAATTGCCTTAGCTTTGTGAAGAAAAACAGAAACTGACATATTGTCCTTAGAGAGATTATGGAGTTCGAGAACGAGTTGAGTCTGTTGAGCATAGGACAAGGCATCATAACTATTAGCATGGGTTTTCCAGGCCTCAACAGAAGTGGTAACACCTTGAAGGGTAGGGAAGATGCTTTCAGAAATAGAAGAAAAAATCCATGAGAATAAGAGTTGATCCTTTTGATGCCATTGAGTGTAAGCTGGATTAACCTCCATGATGGAGGTATTAGGGTCGGGAATTGTCTGAGCGAGAGGGGCTTGAGAACCATCAACAATGGAAGAGAGATTGAGCATGTTAAGGGGAGGAGTAAATTGAAGTTTCCAAGCCGTATAATTTTCACGGGATTGAAGTTTGATGGAGAAAGATTGATGAAGGGTGGAGAGATTGGGAGAAAAGAGAAGAGAGGTGTGGCCGTGGCTGCGAAGTGCGAGAAGGAGGAGTAGAAGAGATCTCTGAATGATTAGCCATGATGATGATGAAGAAGGAACGAGAAAAAGGATGAAAAATGCTCGATACCAAGTTAAAGAATAAAGTGAACACAATGGAAGTAATTGTATTGCATTCAATAACTGATACAGTAGGGTATATCATGTATATATACTATGAGAGAACGATTCCTGATGATAAGTATGATAATAACAACACATGTGATAAATATAAGATAACAACTCATGAGATAATGATTACTTCAACAATTACGAACAACTATATAGATAAATAGTGGTTCAACTCTTCTCAAAATTTCACTCAAAAGTGAATTCCAAAATAAATAATAACTAATCGAAAATGATTAGCACTTTTACGTACGAGAGCCAGTACCCTCCCTCCCTTTAGAGAAAGTAAAGTAGCTCACTTTAAACTCCAATTTAAAAACAAACGAGCGACTTGTCAAAACACTTGATGATCCGACTCAAACTTAATTGTCAAGGAGTAGTATATATGTTCAAATTAATCTTAAGATGGGAAGGATGGTCACAAAAGATTGCTATCATCAACTAATGAAAAGTCCTAATAAAAAATAATGACCAACCAAAAATAATAAAAAATAAGAACTTGTTTAACATACTTGTATCATAACTACAGTAATACAAGTGTAAAAGCATTTTCTAGACAACAATAATATACTAGTAATAAGAAACTACACGGGTAAAACAACCTCAGCCCGACACAAAGGGCAAGTTTTATGAACCGACATCCAAACAGAAAGACAATCAACATGAAACCTATGCCCACATCCTTGAAGTACCATCCACTTGATTGGCAGTGTCCTCCCCCTCGAACTTCCACCTGTCGAAAGACATATCGAACATTCATAATTGTCAAAGACATCGTACACCACCACCTTCGCTGTCACCGGCGACGGCCCACCCGCGGTGCTAGTTGGTTGTTGTTGAATTGTCGCTGCCGCAGCTGGTTGCTCTGGCCGTGGCGCGGACACCCTATTATGATCATGATGAACGGAGTTTTGACCGCCAGTGGTCACCGGTTCTCCTCCTCCTCCTCCGGCGTCGTCGTTGGGGGGTTCTTGGCAACATGTCATCATCACAACAACACAGCAGATCATTAAAAGGAGTGAATCAGTGATAAGCAAGATACCTGTTGGTGTAAAGGGTAACATGAATATTGGGATCCACAAGATAAATATAAATACGCCCAAAATTGTACGGGCGATCTTGATCTATATTACTGGAACACAAGTATAATAAGTGCTGCTGACATACTACAATATATGGAAGCAAGTCATCCACTCGAGGGAGTTTATATATATATATATATATATATATATATATATATAAACTGAATTAATCAACGCGTCGGAGGTTTCAATGTTTTAATTGGATTCGGATTGTGATTCCCACTCGGAATAATAATGTTCTCTGTTAAAGTCCCAAAGTGCAAATAAAATTACATACTACTCCATACATTCCGAAATGGTTCTCCAATTCGGATTTTATTGTTTGGTTAAACTATATTCCTTCTATCAAAAAAAAAAAAAAAGAGAGTCCATATTGAGTTCTTAAATTGTATTAAAAATAATATAAGTTCAATAATTTAATAATATATATATTTTTTTAGACAGAAAGAGTACTTAAAATTAAAATCTAAATTAGACAATCATTTTGAAATAATGAGAATATAGAAACAAAATTTAATAATTGACCAACTTTGCGAGAGCATGAGAATTATAGCCTTTATTATTTTGTACTAACTTTGTACCCAAAAAAAGAAAAAAATAATCTGTATTGAGTTGCCGGATTTTTATTAAGAATAGTATTCTTTCCAGTTTAAATTTTAATTTTTGGTTCAATTTATATTAAAATTATTTTCGGACATAACAAGTACCAATTTTACAATAAAATGCGCGTTAAGTTTTTGACGCAGATCAAATAAAAGATGGAATTAAGGATGCAAAGTGGATAAGGGGGAAAGAATACAGCACAAAGAGTGGCTACCAGTGGATAAGGGAAGAAAAGGAAACATGGAAGGCAGCAGAAATGATCTGGAATAAGTACTTCATCCCCCAAACATAGTCTCATCAGTTGGCTAGAATGGCATGGCATGGCAGATTACTTACTGTGGACAGATTGGAAAAAATGAGGATGAATATAGCAGATAAAACTTGTGTCTTGTGCAGCAAGGAAAATGAAACGCTGGATCATCTCCAGTGTGACTACTCTCAAGCTTTATGGCAAGAATTCAGAAGATGGACTGGAGTTAAACACAATCTGCAAGAGCTGAGGCTTCTGGAGATGGAGATCAGCAAGGAAAAAGGTATTCAGGGCCAGCATTAATGCAACTATCTATGCAGTATGGACAGAAAGAAATCGTAGAAAGTTTGGGGGTATGAGTGAATCAGCAGCATCAAGAGCTGAGAAAGCAATTCAAGAGCTTAAATGGAAGATCAAAATGTTGTATAGAAATAGTAGTGGGGATGACATTAGATTTCTGTCAGGTCTAGGCATTTCATTGCAAGATCACATGTAAAAAAACTCAGTTTGTACATATGTTTTTGATCAGCATCAATACAAAGTGCCTTTTACCAAAAAAAAAAAAATTTGACACAGACGAAATATGTAAGAATAAAAAACAGACATAGCAGCAAGCCTACTTACATTTACTGAAACATTTGTCATGTAAAATTATATACAGGCTGAACAAAGCCGAAGATTTTTCCAACTACATTGGCTCATTCATTAGTTGTCGATTTGTGAATGAAGCTTATTTAAGAGCGTTCATATGTATAAATATACCAATAAAATAAATAGTACGATATAAAACTTTGAAATGAACACATGGAGTACTAAGATTAGAAAATCTGAATTCCTTTGTGTATGCAACACAAACTAACAATCTACAAAATCTGCAATTTAATATCGATTTAGTCACAGTAATTAGCCAACTCTACTTGACGTAATGGAATCCTCCAATGTAACTCTAGTAACTATAATATCTGAAATCCGTTGATTCGACGTACGAATATCGAAAAATAATATTTTCAAGTAACTGTTTAGACTAAAATTACCTGTAAACTTAAAATATCTAACAATCCTTTGATTCAATCAAGAATATACTGGCATCAAAACTAATAATTTTTGGCAAAAAGATTCAATCTCTTTTTTTTTTTTTTTTTCTGGTGTAGAAAAGGAGGTTAAAGCCTTAAGATGACTAAGTCAATATATTTCTATGGTATGATACTTCAATAATATCATGTTCTAACCATGGTTTGACTCTCTAGTGGAGGGTACTCAAGGCAAAACAAGCCTCTTGGTCCTTGTGCTGCACAAGAAGCTAACTGCTACAAAATTTGCCTCCCGAAATTTATGCTGAAGCCTTTAAATATGAAAAACGGAAATAAAATAAACTCTAATGAACTAACCTAAAATTACTGAAATATCCTTTGAAAATCATAGCGAAAACCTGATTCATTTCCTATCTAGGCACTTCAAGTTGTCATACATAGATCGATGGACCCAAAAGCAATCATTATGGTTCGGTGACTAGTTGGATGATCTGTTGGAGTGAGTGTCCAACCTGAGGGGAACATCCTCTAACTTTTCTGCATTTATATAATCAGTAATGGCATACATAAGCACAGAGCACTTATGCGCTGCTCCATCCAAATTGTCACGAGAAGTTTTTTCGAGGGTCATCAAGTTTACTGCAGAAACCTCACATTCCGTGATAGCTTCCAAATATGACAGATTGCGAATAACCAAAAGAGTAATTACGGATCCAATTAAACCGTGACCAAAAGATTGACAACCAAGGAACACGGTCAATTCCCATATTGAACGAACTGAACTAGCACATCTCAAACTCTGGATAACAAGATGTTTGGCCAGAGTTTTGCTATTCGGGCTGACGAGAGAGATGTGAATCTTGGCCCAGGGGTTGCAGTGGATTTATATGATTATAGCTGAGATTTTAAGGCCCTAAAATAGCCTAAAAGGTGGCCAAAATACGTTTGAGATTAGTATGAGCTAGTTGAGTGTGAATAGTTTCAGAATTAGAGAAGAAATTAGAAATCAAGTGGGAAATGAATTGTTCCAAAATCGGCAGCGTGATTAATTGGCAATTAAGAAAGATTCCTCCTTATTTCTTGTTCCTTTTAATAAGAGAATTTACCAGTAATTAAAGAGATATATTTGGGAAAGGATTCCATTACCAAATTAAGAACTGATCGTGAGAAGAGTCATCAACTAATAGGGAAACTGCTGTGAGAATAATACCTATTTTCAAGGAAATTGACCATGTTAATTTACCTTTTCTCCAAGAAATCATAGGGCAATAAGGGTTTCGTCCAAACACTATAAATAGAGCAGCCATGAAGACAAAATTATCACCGATCAACCATATAACTAGTTTTCCTTGTCTTTTATTATTTCTTTTATCGTTTATCATATTTTTACCTTCCCTATGGTAGTTCACCACGTTCTATCATGCTTGCTTAGCCCCTAGCTTAACAATAGAGTTGTTTGCCTTTTTCTCCTACATAGAATTAGGTACGTGTTCACCGTTTTCTACTCCAACGAATTCAGTTATGTTGTAATAGGTGTTCTAACTTTATGTGTGTCGGACTACCCTCTGCACGTCCGTCCTATCATTGTCTTCTGTGTCATAGCATGTCATCGACAAGGTCTAGTCGGCGCTAATATTTTTGTCTTCTATGTAATAGCGTGTCATCGTCACCATCTACAGCTCAAGCTGGCGCTAGGATTTTCCACTTTATGAGTCAAACGCCAAATCTTCGGCTTTTCCCCACTTTCTCTAAGTTCTTACCCAATTCTCTCAAACTAAACCCAATAACCCCAAGTTCTAATCCTGGTCTGAGGTCCGTTCGAACTCAACCACAATAGTCTGATTTAATTATGTTTTAAGTGATTCATGTTCCCCTTTTTCTCACGGTTTCGGGTTCACAACTTTCACGCAACCACAAGAGTAATTTCATTTCCATTTGGAGTGCAAAATGTCTTTTCTTCAAAGTCAGATTCTTGTTCAGCAAAATAAATCGGAAAGCCATTGAATGACATACCACAAGTTGTACTCTTGTTTATAGTCGCACAATCCAAGAACACCAACTAAATTCTCAAAACAATCATCCAAATACACATCAAATATCGGCGGAACCTTCCAATCATGATCAGTTTTTCCCCAGAAACATATGATCGTGTTTTTGAAGCATCATAAAAAACAAAGGTTGGGCTAACCGATTAACAACAAGGATTCATAATAAGTGGATTATTCAACAAGACAATAATTTAATACTCCAACCGACCACTATCAACGGACTAATCAATTAACAAGTGCAAACGCAAATATTATCCCACTGGCACCAACTCTAAATCCAATATGTTAGTATCAACCAAGTGAATAACAAAACTGATGTAATAAATCAACATAACCTCAAGTCGGCTGAACCAACCAACAATTGAATCACAAACCTGTCAAACCCAAACAAACCACAAGCAATGAAAACCGTTACCAATGAAATACCAGGAACGAACTCATCTCTATGCCAAGTAACGTGACGAAAACCTCCAAATGTAACCCTAATAACCGTAACTGCTGAAATCGCTTAATTTTACACATGAATGACGGAAAACAACCATTTAAAAAATCCGTATATTCTAAGAATACACAGAAACGTAAGACACCTAATAATCGGCTGACTCAATCAAGAATACAGGAAAGAAGGCATTAAAACAAATAAGTTTTGGCGAAGAGATTCAATCTCAATTTTAATAAAATATCAACACCTGCCTTTACAATGTGACGGCTGAAGCCTTTAAATATGAAAGACGGATAGGAAATAAACCCCAATAAACTAGTCTAAATATACTGAAACATTGTTTGAAAATAATGCACTAAATAGGGTTACATGTTAGTGTACTAAATTCCTTTCCTTTTCTAAGACAATTGTTCAATCATCAAACTAACATGCAGTAGACTATTTTCCTAGGACGATAGAGGGAAGTACAAAATACTGTTTCCTTAACAATTGCGTACGTGGAGAGCAACCTCGTCACTCCGACATATAGGGCATGTCTTCTTGCCAGCCCTAGCCAACCAAGACTTGATACAGTGAGAAT